AATTTTGATACCATACGACAATCGAATTTGTAACAACATAGTGACAATCTTGGAAGTCGTTGCTAAATGTGGTGCCTAAATTTAGGTAGGAACTAATAATGACCGGCTAACAATGGATTGCTGACAGCTTTGATGACCAAAAAGTTAAATTACTTTAGCGACTAATTTTAGGCCGATTTAGTTGCCTTCCTCTTGTGCCTCGCCCCCTCTCCCCTGTCTCTCTCTTTTCTTGGTCTCCCTCTGTTTTTCGGTGCCGGTAGTTTGAGGAGAAGTCGTCACCGCGCCGCTGCCTCCAACGATCAGCCTACAGGTAATTTTCTGCAATTTCTTTTTTTTGTTCCATTTTCTTTATTCTATGATTTGATCAATACCATTAAAATGTGTTTTTTTCTTTGTTTTGTGTTTTTGCTTTGTATCTCTATCTATTATTGGAAGTTTTGATTATGTGAATGGTTTCTGCTTTGTGTTGTTTTTTTTATATATATATTTTGATGTTGGTTGGTTCTGTCAGTTATAGATTTATGTGGTTGTGGTTTTTTTTTTAAATATTTTCATTGTAGTTAGTTTGTATTTTTTGTATATTGTTATTGAGTTTTAATAACTAATTTCTGAATTATGTTGCGTAATTTAATTTTTGTTTTTGTTTTAGTTGGTTTTCTTTGCAGTTAGTGTGTAATTTTTGTGTAGTTTATATTATTTAGTATCTGATTTAGTTTTAGTTAGTTAGTTTTATATTTTCATATTGTTTGAGTTAGTTTTAGTTTATAAGTTAGTTTTAGGTCTTTAAATGAGAATGTTTAATTTAGATGTTAATGTTTAATTTATTAAATTTTTTATTGGTTAATTTAGAAATGTGAATGGTTAGTATATATGTAAGTTTTTATATTTAGTTGGATTCTTAAATTTTTAGGTTTATTAGTTTGTTAATTAGGTTGGTTTGTTAATTAGTTTTATGTAATTAATATTTTACTTTGCTAATTTGTAGTTTGTACCTCAGCAAATTTCTTCAACAATTGCAACTCCGATTAGCTAATAATTTCTCTCTCCCTTTATATAGTTTATTAAGTTATAAACTAGTTCTAGCGTTTTAATTAGGAAAGTTATAAAAAATAAACTTAGAATAACTATAATTTTAATTATAAGTTAAGTAGTATACTGTGGAAAGCTTTTTAAATAGGAGAGTTAAAAAAAATAAACTTAGAATAACCATACTTTAAACTTAATAAGACAAATAACATAATGAATTGCAAGCATAATTAGCATATCTATATACTTAGCATTTTAATTAGGAAAGCATAAAAATTAAAAGGAAAATATGAAGTATGAAAAATCATAAAACTTAATTAGCACATATAATATGAATCATAAAACGTATAAAACTTAATAATGAAAATATGAAGCATAAAAAGCATAAAACTTAATCATAGAAATCCTAGTTAACATATAACTTAATATATTTTTTTTATATTTTTGATTATGCATTAATGGTTGAAATTATTTTATTTTATGTATTTGTCGATGAATTGTGTTGATTGGAGGCCTAATATTGGCTATTGAAGTGGATGTTGACTTGTGAAAGTGTTTTGTTTTGTTTGTGTATATCAAAAATTTTGTTGATGAAATGTGTTGATTGGAGGCCTAGTAGTGACCATTTATGTGGACGTTGATTTATAGAAGTGCTTTTTATGTTTCAAAATTTTGATTTATTAGTTTTTAGGGAGAAATGTTACCAAATTTTTTTCGTGAAATTTTGATAATGAACCATAATCAACCTAATTAATATAAATAAGTAAATCTTAGTTGCATATTTGATGTCTTTCTCAATCTGGATGGAAGAGAAGACATTGAATTGTCCAAGTTTGACAGTTTAGAAATGTCTTTTAACTACAAAATGTACGAAGATATACAATAGTTACTTAAGCATCTTTTGGTTGATTTCATTTGTATCTCATTATTATGTTCTCCACGTGCACAATACAATATTAATGTTTTACTTTGTGCACTTGGAGAACTGGGGGAAATGCTACCAAAATTTCATTAGATGCTTATTACAACTATTATATGTGTCTGTACTATATTTTTATAAGACATTTTTGAATGTGCTAGGTTCTCACCAAAATTTTAGGACTAATAATTTAAATCAAAATACATCTTTATTTTAAAATAATAATGTAACTACTGATAACTAAATAAGACAAATATTTGCTGATCGGATGTTGCTGTACCAAAGGTATGAGTTGAATGGAGTATTAAGGAGAGAATTCGAGAAGGGTTTGAAATCCTTTATTCAATTTGCAATTAGTGATTTATATTGTATGGATGGAGGGAAAATAAGGTGCCCTTGCAAACTCAAAAGTACAAAAATAGGACTTTTTATGATGGTGACACAGTGAAACTCTATTTATGTAAAAATAGGTTTGTAGAAAACTATTACTAGTGGATATATCATGGTGAAACTCACACTAATAATAGTACAGGTCGACAGTGCAATACATCAAGGATTCAGAGTGTAGATTTGCATTTAGATCTAGTATTGCGATCGCAAGATATGGTCAAAGATGTCGCTGGTCCTGATTTTCATTGGGAGAAAATGGAAGAGTCACCAAACACAGCAGCGCAAAAGTTGTATGATATGCTAAGCGTCGTTAATCATGAAGTTTAACTAGGTTGTTAGAGTCATTCTTTGCTTTCTATAGTAGCATGAATGTTGCATATTAAATCAAAGCACCATGTTTTAGAAGGTGTTATGATGATTTTGTGCAATTAATGAAAGAAGTGATGTCGGGTGATAATTCCATGGTTGAAAACTTTTATCAAATGAAGAAGTTAGTTCAGGGTTTAGGGCTGCCGATTGAGAAGATAGACTGTTGTTGTAATAACTATATGATATTTTATGGGTAATAACAGTGAGTTAAGGTGTGCAAGTTTTGCAACCTTCCTAAATATAGAAGGCAATGTCAAAGAACCGGGAGACAATAAAAAGAGAAAGCATATAAGAAAATATATTACTTTCTGTTGACTCCACGACTTCAAAGGCTATATGCATCTCATGTTACAGTTGAACAGGTACAATAGCATGCAGAACATGAACGTGAAGATGTTGTTATGTGTCATCCATCAGATTTTGAAGCGTGGAAACACTTCAATGACCAGCATCCGTTATTTGTTGTTGAGATTAAGAATATCAGATTAGGACTATGCACAGATGGTTTTCAACCATTTGGAGAATCAGGCCAATAGTATTCCTCATGGTCTGTAATTGTCACACCATATAATTTACCCCCAAACATGTGTATGAAAAAAGAATATATGTTTCTTGTGTGTTATTGTGCTGAGACCAAAAACCCAAAATATAAGATCGATGTTTTCAAGTTGAATCAATTGTGGGAATTAGGTGTCAAAATTTATGACATTTCAAATTCTCAAAATTTTTATGCTTCGTGCTGCTTTGCTAATTGACAATTAGTGATTTTCCTGCACTATCAATGTTATATGGGTGGAGTAATGCGGGCAAAACTGCTTATCCATATTGCATGGAAAATATAGAAGCTTTTACCTTGAAAAATAATGGAAAACAATGTTAGTTTGATAATCACCACAAGTTTCTCCCAATTGAACATGCATGGAAGTAAAATCGACAGTATTTTCAGAAGAATAAGGTTGTTTATTCCCCCCCCCCCCCTAAGTGAATCGCTTTCTTCGTGTGTATCTATCTCTCGCTGAGACACACAAAAAACCCAAAATATAAGCGATCAGATGTTTTCCAAGTTGTATATATCCAATTGTATAGGTGAAGATTAGGTATAATACTGATAATATTGTATGACATTTTCAACATTCTCAAAATCTTTATGCTTCGAATCAATGCGCTTTTGCTAATTGGACAATTATCGATTTTCCTTATGCCACTTATCACAATTGTTATATGGGTGGACGGTATATGCGGGCCTAAAACTGCTATATCTCCATTTAAATTGCATGGAAAATATATAGAAGCTACTTTAACCTTTAAAAAATAATAGAGATGATAACATAGATATAGATATTTGCCTAAATCACACGCACAGGAGTTCATTCTCCAATTGGAAACATGCATGGAAGTAAAATCGACAGTATTTGGCAGAAGAATAACAAGAGTTGTTTATTTCCCCCCCCTATCCCCTCTCCAGCCCAACACCCACCACCCGCTCCCCACTATTGGAAAAAAGCCTATTATAGATTTAGGCACATTAGATTTCATTAAGAAATTGAAGAGTTGAGGCTATATGAAAAAAGTGACAGATTTTGGGACAATGATGGGGTGAATAGTAGGGATTGCTCCTAGTTATCAGTGAGGATGTGAGGGAAAAAACCAAAAAATATATTTGGGCGGATCTTTAATCCACAACTGGATAATCCAACAAGCGAGTACTTTGCTTATTCGAAAACATTAAAACCTTAAGAATCAAGACCCATGTATTCAAATACAAATGCACAAATATATAGTGAACAAAGGTTTGAGATATTTAAAAATATCTTTAATACTGTGCAGGAATTTTGATGGGAATTAACAAATCAGGATTAATGCAAGAGCGAAATCTATGAGAATGCAATAATAGAAGAAAAATTATAGTCGTCATCTGCTGAGCTGGAATACATATATTGGCAGATGGAGCGGGACTGATTTACAAAGGCTTGTATATCATTAGACAACATCCCAAAAATAAATATTTATGTGAGTGAGTCCATGGATTGCTGGTTTCTAAATGGATATGCATCCAGAACATGGCTCGATGTGTGTTGACAAGTGTAGAAATATATTATGTAGTTTTTGGAATGAAAAGCCACTGGACTGTCATATTTTATATACAAAGGATGATACTAATAGCGTCCAAGGAGTTCTCTACCAGTTAAAGTATAAGAGCGTTGTATAAAGCACTAACGTTAACACTAATAAGGTTGTTTATTCCCCCCCCCCCCACCTATAAAGTTAGGCACATAGATTTCATTAGAAATTGAAGAGTTGAGGCTTATGAAAGTGACAGATTTGGGACATGATGGGGTGAATAGTAGGATTGCTTAGATCAGTGGATGGAAAAAACAAAATATATTTGGGGATTTTAGCCACACTGGAGTACTTTGCTTATTCGACATAAACCTTGATGTCATGCATATAGAAAAGGTTGTATTTAAAAATATCTTTAATACTGTGAGGAATATTGATGGGAAAACAAAGGATAATGCCAAAGCTAGAGCAAATATGAAATAAATTTGTCGTCATCCTGAGCTGGAACATATTGCAGAGACGGGACGATTTCCAAAGGCTTGTTATACATTAGACAACACCCAAAAATAAATATTATGTGAGTGAGTCCATGGATTGCGGTTTCTAAATGGATATGCATCAAACATGGCTCGATGTGTTGACAAGTAGAAATATATATTAGTTTGGATGAAAAGCCATGACTGTCATATTTTTATACAAAGGCTGATACTAATAGCGTTCCAAGAGTTTCTACCAGTTAAAGTATAAGAAGCGTTGATAAAGCTAAGTCTTTTTTTCAAGAATTTGACAAGTACTATCCTGAGATTAGAGGATATGGATCGCCTTGTGCGAGAAATACTAATAATAATTTGCAAATTAGAGCAAATTTTTCCACCAGGATTCTTCGATTCTATGGAACATCTACTAATTCATCTACCATTTGAAGCACAAAGAGCAGGGTCGTGGCAATATAGATGGATGTATCCATTTGAAAGGTATGTTTTGCATTTACACCATTTCAATCACTTAATAAATAATGGTAATATGCATATTATGTTTTCTTTCTTATTACAGACATCTTCACATATTAAAGAAGAATGTACACAATAAGGCAAAGGTTGAGGGGTCGATATGCAATGCATACTTGGTGGAAGAATCTTCCACTTTTGTTCCCACTACTTTGCACCCTATGTTTACACTAAGCATCAACAAGTCTCACGAAATGATGACGGAGGAGATAGGATGGAAGAATTTAGAAGGCAATCTATCAATTTTCACCTATCCAGGGCGCAAAATAGGATAAGAAAGAAAAAGGCATTTGAACGAGGAAGAGATCCGTGCAGCTCAAACTTATATTTTTTTTGAACTGCGAAGAGGTGACCTTATTTATTGAGTAAGTATTTATATTTTATAGATTAAGCCAGTTATTATAGTATAAATAGTAAGTAAATTATGAGAACCATATCCTCGGTTTACTCGATGGTATTGTTAATGCAAGACTAGAGGAAGAATTCGCAAATTGGTTCAAATCTTATGTAAGTATCGGTTCAAACTACAAACTTGTAATTACACTTAATGAACTTAATATATACATTATTGTTACTATGTTATTTGTATAGACGCATAACTCAGAAAGTATTATTGGTGATAAATTCATTATTGATCTAGCAAAAGAACTTTTGTCAATCGCAAATATGTACTTGGAATACTTTGTTAATGGATACAAGTTACATATCAAGCATTATGGGTCAATTAGAAAAATATTAAATAGTGGAGTATGTGTAAAAGGATCAAACTATAGTGATCAGTCAAATGATTTTTACGGGAGGTTGCTTGAGGTTCTAGAGTTAGAATATCCAGTTATACCAATAAAACAAACAATATTATTTAATTGTGAATGGTTCAATCTAACACCAAACGTTGGAATAAAGGTTCATCCAAAATATAACATAATATAATTTAATAATAGAAAAATATACACAAAGTAGGAATCGTTCATTCTTGCAATACAAGTAGCTTAGATGTATTATGTTTTATATCCATCAATGAAGTGAGATGGATTAGCTGGCAGTGTGCAAGAATAAAGTTAGATCAGTTGTAAAATAAGTCTAGAGTAAACAATTTGCTTTAATCTCAATGTCAAAGCCATTTCAGGTTGATGAGGTTGAATTACCAGTCTAAATAGTTAAAGATTTAAAAAATAGACTGGATGATGAGGATGGGACATATGTTGAGATTGGTATGTTAGATGAAGATGATGAAGCGGAGCCCCATGTCTTAGGTACTTCAGAAGAAGAAAAAGAAGAAGAAGAAGAATAAGAAGAAGATAAAGAAGAATGAGATAAAGAACCTTAAAATAGTTAGTATATCCTAAACCTAAATTCAGAACATTACGCATAGTTACCATATTGTAGAAACTCAAAACTTGAACATCTATGGTTGGTGTCAAAACTTTTCTAATATTTGTGTCAACTACTATGTTGTATTATAGATTTGCTTCTTCTGGTTCAGATGGATACTGGCAGAGGGGTTGAGGACTCTACATGAGAGGGACAATGTCATGGTATTCGAGGACGAGGTAGTTGTGCCAGAGCACGTGACACTCATATAATCACATGACTCCCTTACCTCCACCTCCTATCCCTCCTTCTATCCCTCTTTTTATTCAGGCACCTACTTTTGATGATGAAGCACCATCTGCACTAGCCCTTCCACTCAGTAATATTCAATTCACCATTGTTCTTCCTTTATATTTATATATGTCAATATATGTTTAAGATAAGCTTAATTTATATTAGTATTTACATTTGGTATTTCTGCTCCTTTTCTGTATCTCTGAGAGATTCTTGATCGAGGTTGAAGATTATGAAAGTACAGTAAGTAACAACAAACAATTACTATTATATATTGCTAATTTTAGTTATAAGATACACTTATGCTGCTAACTAAAAATAATTATATTTTTCTTTTTGTTGTTTAACACCTTGCATCCATCCTCTGATACCTCTAAAGCCATTATGAGGATCTTTAAGCTTCATTTAGAGAAAGATGGCTAGTGTTGGGGAGGTATACCAATGGAGGCTAGACAATTTTATTAGGATGAGTTTCTAGTAAATGTTCTTACTTCAATTGTACTTACACTTAATGATCGTGAACATCTTATAAAAATGTTTCATTTTCTATTTCGTGTAAAAGGAGTTCACAAGGAAGTCAAATGCTATAGAGGCCAAGTTTAAGAAAGCTTGGGAGACATAGTCAACAAAGCATTATTCAAACTTTATGTACAAGACGTGGAGTATAGGAAAGAAACAAAGGTGTGTGTTCGACGAGCTATGGGCTTGCTAGCAACAGGCATGATCCGATCCTTAATATGTGAGGAAATGAGAGATTATGTCCTGTGATAGGCTTAGTGAAATGGGTGGTGAGGGAGCTAGTTCGTCTCGACACACTGGCAGTTCCATTTCAGCAGTTAAGATTACTAAAAAATTGGTAAGATAAATTCACTTAAAAATTATATATAGCTTCATCATTAAATGTATTTGAAAATGTTTCGTATTTTATGAAATGTATTGGCAAACGAGTTGAAGCGTCAGCCTATCCCCATGGAGGTCTTCACATATACACATATGAAGACCATGGCGGGGTGACATTCATTGATAGACATGCAAAGCTTGTTAGAGTAAGCTTACAAAATCCTTCTTTACTTTTCCATTGATAAATTTGTATATTTTTGCATTATTCTTATTCTGTATACTATCTTTATTATCAGGATAATTATACTGCTAGGAAAGAGCGAGCGACTGCATCTCAGGCTTAGATTAGTGAGCAACCTACGATCAATGAGTTCCAGCTTTAGGCGAGAAGCAGAGAAAAGTGTACAGTATTGGTTCACTATCCTCAATTTTCTACAGCCGCACCCATAGGAGTTCAGCGAGTAAAGCCACACCAATTGAGCCGGAGACACGTATTGAGAAGATCTAGGATTTACGAGCTTAACTATAGGCGCAATAGCAACAGATATCACAGCTTATATTATAGCAGTAGTAATAGATGGATATGTATGCTCGAGACCGACATAGTGCATTGACAGATCACTCTGATCCCCCAGCTTCTTCCACTCCGCCGGCTTCTTAGACTCATACAAATCTAAGGTTGATGGTTTTAATTAGAGTGGTTTTCTCTTGTTTGGGGAAGGCCATTCACGTTTTATGTAAATATATATTAAAAGAAAAGAAAAGCAAAGCAAAGCAGGTGAAAACTATACGTCTTGTTTCATGTTGACGGGACAAAGAGAGAAATCAAATCAATGGCTAGAGTGTTGAATTAAGGAAGAAAAGGCATAGCTCAATCTATGCCACGGAATGAAAGGGGCTGTGAGTGAAGTTTTTAGAGCTCCGATGGCTCTTAAAACTATAGATGGTGAATAGTATTTTGAAATAAATAAGAGTTATATAGAGGAAGGCTAGTTGCTAGGGTTAGGTGGTAAAATATTTTTAATTTTAAATGTTCAACATTAGTATTATAGGAGTAAGTTTGGAAATTGTTTCTTTTATTATTATTTTGTAGTATTTTGATTAGCCCAAAATTAGAAGTAAATTTTGGAAAATCATAGCATGCTTAGGAATTGAGTTGAAGATTAAAATTGGGTGAGTTAAATGGACTTGAACACATGGAGAAATGACCTATTAGGCTAATCTCATATGTGGTACAATTGCTTATAACAAATTTTAATTTTTGAGTGTTATGAGATTAGATTTATAAATTTCTAATTTATTTGAGTTGAATTAATTAAATATACCTTTAAATATTAGAGGACTATTATTAATTCTAGCAAAATATTAATGAAGATTAGCAGGATTTAGAAATTGCTTGAGATGCACGATGAAGAGAAGTTACCGTAATTTGGGCAATTACCTGGGTAGTTGAGATATCATGTACTTAAAATTGTTAATTGTTAAGTGCCTATAAAATCCAACAATTAACAATTTTAACTTTCATAATTTAATTTTTAAATTTTAAAGTTATTGTAACTATTGATTATTATGTATACAATCAAATGAATAAAAGTATAATATCAAAATATTGTAATAAATAAATAATACCAAAAGACATTAATTAGAAAATAATAATAAATATAAAAAATAATCTAAATAAAGAAGAGATAGAAAAAAAATATAATTTTAATAGAAATAAAACTATCTGTTTGTATATTTTGCATAAATAAGTGACATTAGATTTGTATATATAGAGAAAATAACAACAATAATAATAATAACAATAATAATAATAATAATAGTGACTTTATAAGGATAAATCTTATAAAAAATATATGTGGATTACAAGTTTTGTGCTTCTTTATAACCACACTTTTTAATTTTTTGGGTCATAGTGTTATGAGATTGTTACATATAAATATAAATTTCTAATTTATTTGAGTTTGAAATTAATTAAATTATACTTTAAATATTAGGGAGGCACTATTATTAAATTCTAGCCAAAATATTAATTGGAAAGATTAGCATGAGATTTAGAAATTGTTTGAGTTATTTCACGGATGAAGAGAATTTTACCCGTAATTATGTCAGACATTTACTCTGGGTAGTGTAGTATGATATTCGGTTACTTAATAAAGTTGTTGAAATATGTTAAGTGCACTTATAAAAAAATCCAAACAATTAATCCAAATTTGTTATATCAACTTCATAATATAATGTAAAGGATTAATTATTTAATTTTAAAGTTATTGTAACTATTTTGAATAGAGTTATTATAGAAAAGGGATATCACATCAAATTGGAATAAAAGGCTACTTAATATCATCAAATTATGACCAATGTAATAAAGTAATAATACCAAGAGACAGACGAATGGTAATTAGGAATAATTAATAAATATAAAAAATAATCTAAATAAAGAAGAGATAGAAAAATATAATTTAAACCATAAATAGAAAAATAAAACTAATCTGTTTGAGACTTATAATTTTGCATAAATAAGTGACATTAGATTGTGTTCATTTAGTATAGAGGTAAAAAAATTTAACAACAATAATAATTTAATAACAATAATAATAATAATAATAGTGAAGTTTTCAATAAGGATTAGAAGTACTTAATAGGAAAAAAGGTAATATAAGAAAAAATAATAGAATCTACAAGAAACAGGAAACATAATTTACATAACCACTATTTGTGGGTTTCCATAAAATTTGTTTTTGTTTTAAAAAACAGGTTTCTAATAAGAGAAAGCGGAAAAAAAATTATTAATAAGGTTAAACAAACAATATTTTATTTTTATATCTTGTTAAAACAAAATCAGAAAATATAAGGTCAATTTAAGTTATTTATAATAATAACAATAATAATAATAATAATAGTGACTTTATAAGGATAAATCTTATAAAAAATAATAAAAAAATATAGAATTAAAAACAGGAAACATAATTACATAACCACTATTTGTGGTTTCCTAAAATTTGTTTTTTGTTTTAAAAACAGTTTTCTAAAAGAGAAAGAAAAAAATTAAATAAGTGTAAACAAACAAATTTTATTTATTTTTTTAAAAAAAATCAGAAAATAAAAGATTTAATTGAAAACAAACAACATCCTAGATTTCGGTGTGATTTAAAATTTTCGATAACTTTCAATTAGTCGGTTAACAAAACTGTTTCAAATTTGCCTAAAACATAAAACAATCAAACTAATTGGAGTTGATTCTATACATCACTTTCACTTCGATTCAGAAAAATTATAGTTTGATTTTCGGTTTTTTTTTATTCGATTTAGTTTAATTTAAAGCGATTGCATACTAAACACGTTGGTTGTGGGTATACGATATACATTTTATCTCCAGTAAAAAAAGAAAAACCACTTTTATCTTTTTGGCGCCCCTATGCTTTGAACTTCAGTCCTGAGCAACAACCAGTCAGAAGTCAAAAACATTACTTTCTCCGTTACTATCGTTTTTTTTTTTTTGAAAGGGTCTCCGTTACTCTCTTTGTTCTTTCTCAATTACTCTCTTTGTTCCTACAAGTACAGCTGAACTGTCCTTCTCCAGTAATCTTTAATACAATAATTCTACTACTTATACGCACAATCACATTTGGAAATGGACCCGAAGAGTTTTATTGGTGGGTTTAAAGAACTCAGCTTTGAATTTCAGTCCTTACCAACTACCAGTCAGAAGTCAAAACAGCACTTTCTTGATTACCATCTTTTATCTCTTACAAGTACACCCGAGCTGTTCTTCTCCAGTAATCTTTAAGAAAAGAATTTTACTGCTCATACGCACAACCAAATTGGCAATGGATCGGAAGAGTTTTATTAATGGGTTTAAAGAACTTAGGCCTTTGGTGCACTTGCTTTTGCCTCTCTCTATCCATTGGATTGCTGAGGAAATGACTGTTTCTGTTCTTGTTGATATTGTTACTAATGCTTTATGTCCTGGGGAGTCCACATGCGATGAGGCTATTTATCTCAATGGTCTCCAACAAACGGTAAAAATGCCGCTTCTCCTATTTAATTACTTTTCTTCTGTTGAGAAAATGAGGTAGAAGGGAAGAAAATGAAGGCATAGAAAATGGGTTTCTTGATTTTCCTTCGTTTTATAACTTTCTTCTTGAATTCATTTAGCCTGTTTTCTAAGCACTCTGTTTGTCTGGTGGGAAAATGGAGGGACAGAGAACAAATGGGATGGTTGAATTCTGAGTCCTTTTTTCTTGTTTTTATTATTTTCGTATTATTTTGCATCATTTATGTGTGATTTAATTCGTTGGTAATTGGTGATCATGTTTTTTCTTGTTTGTCTAGTTAGTGTCAAAATGGGAAGATAGAACTAAAAGGATGCAGAGAAATGGTATTATTCCTTCCATCCCGAAAAATAGTACATTCTCTATTTTCACACGGATTAAGAAATAGTAGTTATCATGGTTAAATGATAATTTTATTCATATAACTTTCCTATTATCCCATCTTAAATAACACACAAGTAATTATTATATTTAAATAATAAGTAAGATTTAAGGAGGGTTTATTGAATATAGTAAAATTTAATAAAGGTATAGTAGACAATTTAAGCATTAACTATAATGCAAAAAAGGGAAATTGACTATATTTTGGGACAAACCAAGAAGGAAAAATGTATTATCTTTTTGGGATGAAGGGGAGTATTAAAATTTTGTTTTGATTGCTTCATTTACTTATAAATAGGCAAGAAAAGTTGTTCTTTATTTCTTAAAATTTGTCTTGCTGTTGATTGTAGGATGTTTATTTTTTTTGTTTAATTAATTAAAGCATTTGTATATAGATACCGTTTGCTCTTTGGGTTTGTAGAAGATGAAAACTTTATGATCCTAAGGATGTTGGATTTGAAATAGTTCTGCCACTTGGGTATTTTAGTTGCATCAATTTGACTCTGTTGAATGCTTAGCACATAAGCATTTCCTTTTCCTTCTTCTTATCTGTGTGTGTTTATGCACTTGCTCTTATGCATTGTTTTTCTCTTATGCTCTTGGCATTTGATCTTCCTTTCAACATACAATCTTTCCAAGATTGAGATGGACGTCATGATAGCTTTATTTTGCTGATGAAGTAATTTAAGGTTACTTTTGGTGTTTATGAAACTATAACCTCAGGATCATCATCAGTTTTACAGATCATTGGTTAAATATTTCTTTCTTTTCTTCTTTTGTCCTTTAAAGCAAGACTTGATATTATTATCTTATTGTCTGTAGGTGGTTGGAATTTTCAAGATGGTGGTATTACCACTCTTAGGCCAACTTGCTGATGAGTATGGGCGTAAACCACTTCTCCTCCTTACTATATCCACATCCATGATTCCTTTTGGTATGTTATGCATGTATCAGCATTTTCAGTTAGTTTCATTTATATAACATACATGTAAAGTGAAGCATGGAAATAGATAGTAGTTGTCTGAAACTTAAGGCACATATCTACATATAAACTATAGACCTATGGAGGAGATTGCCACTCCTAAAACATTCTTTAGAAACAGTTAATCAAGTTTAAGAGTGTCAATGGTGAAGATGGAAAATGAGAAGATTAGAAGACTTTTCCGCTTGATGCCAATATGGAAATCAGAAAGGTGCACTGTCATGTTCGTTTGATTCTAGATACCTCTAGTTAGGGAAAGAAGATTCTCCCGTGTTATTGCAAATATATATACAACCTCCTGAACCTTTTAACTATAAGAAAGATGTTCCCTTATTTATCTGTGATGCTGATAATTCACTTTTCCTTTTTGATTTGTTTTATTGCTTTAGCTTTACTTGCCTGGAACGAAAGCAGAGGATTCGTGTATGCCTTCTATGTGCTTCGTACAGTTTCATATGTTCTAAGCCAAGGGAGTGTTTTCTGCATTTCTGTTGCTTATGCAGTAAGAATTTCTCCCCTTTTATGCGAAAGTCACAGATGAAGATTGTTAGTGGATGATATTTCCCATTTCTTTGGTAGGCAGATTTTGTTAAGGAAGGCAAGAGGGCAGCAGCATTTAGTTGGATCACTGGTCTCTTTTCTGCTTCTCATCTCTTGGGCAATGTTGTAGCACGTTTTCTTCCTGATAATTATATATTTCCAGTATGTAGGTTCTATAAATAATAGTCATATTTCCATCAACTCCTTTTTATCACTTCTCTTTGTTGTCGTGAATTTGACTGATTACCTGCAAATTCATTATTTGCAGACTGATTGTTCATTTCATCTCAGGTTTCAGTTGCTCTCTTGATCTGTTGCCCTGTGTATTTGCAATTCTTTCTAGTTGAGACAATTGAACCTACTCGAAGTAGGGACCAGGATTCACCCTTCTTCTCTAGGATCATTAAGCTTTTTCACACACGATATGAATCAATGAGAGATGCTGTAATAATTAGCTTTAGCAGGTATTGTTGTTTAACTGAAATAAATCTTCAAAATGCACATCATTTCTCCATCTTTACTATTATATTCAAGTTCTATAATTTTTTTTTTTTTTGGCCTTTTAATGTAATTTTCGTAAGTGCAAAATTCTATCAGTGTGGTCTGACTAAGGACTTGTTATCACTCTGCAGCCATACACTAAGAGACATTTCTATCATTTCCTTCTTCTATCAATTGGGTATGTCTGGCATCAGCAGTGTCTTATTTGTAAGTTCCTTGTTAATCTTTTCATACCAAATTATCTTTTATCCTCATCATTGATAGAGTTCTGTGGAAAGAATCTCTAGGAAATTGATGGTATTGAAGTTTCATTTATTTTTTGGTTGTATGAAGCACATGAGCAAAAAAAAGAAAAAAAAAAAAAGGAAATTCAACTCCCCCCACCAAATAAGAAAAAGTCTTTTTATTGTCTTCTTCATTTTTAGAATAGATAGATGTGTAGTTGCAAGAATTAAAGCTCATAAATGATCCTTAAGAAGCTTCTTTTCTAATTAAATTTTCTAATCTCTAAACCTAATTGTAATTGTAAAAAATGATGCTTAGTGGTGCAGGTCTAATTCTTTTTCTATTTTTGAGTTAAGTTTCATGTTTCCAATTAGAAAAAGAAAAAGGGTGATTGCTGACTTCTTCACCTTTGCCTATACAGTACTATCTAAAGGCAGCATTCGGTTTTAGCAAAGACCAGTACTCAGAAATTCTGTCAATGGTTGGAATCGGTGAAGTTTTCTCTCAGGCACCTTTCCTTCCGGAGATTATATAGTTCTGTTATTTTCTTGACAAACAGAAAAGGCTATTCTGCTTAAATACTGAACATTTTTGTCTTCCTCCTCCAAACCACTCCAGATCATAATCTTGTGAACTGAAATATGATGGCAAATTACAAGAACTCTTTTGCCTAACACGTCTTTTGTTTATTATTATTATTTATATTGCTTCTAGATTGTGGTGCTTCCTTTTATCAATCCTTTGGTTGGAGAGAAAGTGATACTATGTCTGGGGTTACTTGCATCTATGGCTTATGTAAGTTGCCTCTATCCTAGAAACCACCAATTTGCACATCAAACAGAAAGGATGGAAAGAAAAAAAATAATCTTGCTCTTCTGTTTACAGGCACTGCTATATGGCTTGGCATGGGCATCTTGGGTATGTATATGTACTCATATGCACTTATACCAAGTAATCTTTTATAGCTTTAGTCCTAGCTAGGTCTATAATTTCTTTGTGTACAGAGTTCTATATACATTCTCATTGTCAATTGCAGGTGCCATACTTGAGTGCCTCTTTTGGAGCCATTGATGTCCTTGTGACACCATCTGTAAGAGCTGTATCCCTTTAGATAGTCCTTTTCATCTTATTTTGCTTCAATCAATGGAATGCTACATCTCCTGCTTTATGTGCCGAACTTTTCTTGTGCAGACTTATGCTATCATTTCTAAAGCATCAAGCTCAAAAAATCAGGTCTGTAAGTAATAACTTGGGTTTTTCTTTCTACATCTGACTTGGAACTGATAGACATTTTTCAAACTTCAAGTGTTTCTGGAATCTAGTCATATGTACTTCTAGTCGTTCAATACAGGGAAAAGCACAAGGATTTGTTGCTGGTGTGCAATCCATAGCAAGTTTCTTATCCCCCATTGTTATGAGTCCATTGACTAGTGAGTTGTGATGTTTCATCTCTTTTATTTTCTGTTTCCTATTTCTTGGTGCAGCAAAATTCTTAGCAACTGCGATGCAGACACTCAACCATTGAGATTGTAGCCTAATACCTATATCCTTATCTTTGTTTTATATGTAACTGAACCATTTCACTTTCTCTTTTGCTTACATGCGAGTTGTTCCAGCTTTGTTCCTGTCTAGCAATGCCCCTTTCAACTGCAAAGGTTTCAGCATCATAGTTGCATCTCTATGCATGGTAAGCTCCTCTGACATCTATCTTTTTATCTCTATCTATTAATCATGAATTTTAATTTTCTTAGATGGTTGCTTTCTTCTATGCTTGCCTGCTCAAACCGGAGCAATACTCAACTCTGGAGGAAGATACTGAAGCACTGTTAATTTCCTGAGTCTTGGATCATATGGAAGCTACTGGAAACACAGAAACAGTTAGAAGAAAAACTGAAAATGAGCGCCAAAATTAGTTTCAAGTTTGTTAGTTGTTGTAACTTCCTTTCTTCGCTGGCAAAATAGAAGTTAGCAAGAGAGTTATGATTAGAGCTGTATATAAACAATACTTGTAACTCTCTTTTTGTTGGTTAATGACATTTTTATCCTATTTTCTACAATCTGACATTTAAATATTTAATATTATATAATTGATTGTACAAAGATCAAAAATAAAAAAAATTATATTTCCAAAAAAAAAATATCTAATAAGTTATGGAAATAATGAGTTTCGACTAATATCATTCGTATTTATCTTTCCCTTTCTACGCTCTTTTGCATCTATTTCAACTTTTTCCTACACAAAAATAGAAAGAAAGAAAAAAAAAAAGAAAAAAGAATTGACATTACATCGACATTGCATTACTTCAGGTGAAGAAGAAGAGACGGGATTAAAGTTGCTGTTATACTCCTTCTACAATTAAAAATATGAAAAACAACAACCATAATAAAATAATAATAATAATAATAATAATAATATATCAAAATAAAAAATAAATACATAAAGATTTGAGAGCACAATCAAAATCCACAAAATTGAAAGTAAAATAATCTACAAACAAAAAAGAAAAAAAATAGAAGAAGAAACATTGTGAAGAAAATCGTTCAAATTGAAAGGTATATATAGATACATGTATATAAATATAGATAATAAAAAAATTTAAAAGTTTTAAAGTTTTAGTTATTCAAATTTTCTTCGCTGGAAAAATAGACGAAGTTAAGCAACGAGTAGTTATGCCTTAGAATTGCATGACTATTACAAAAAGCAATCTACTTAAGGTAACTCACTATATTATTGTCTGAGTTATAAATGCAACATTCAAATTTCTCATCACTTCTATTTTCTACATCTGAACATTTAAATATTTAATTTATTAAATACCAGCAAATTGAATTGTACACAAAGAAAATCAATACACTATAAACAAACAGTTATCTTCTCCAAAAAAATTCTAATAGTTATCGGAAATAATCGCAAAGTTTCGCACAATCTCATATAATGATACTACGTGATTTATAACATTTCACCCTATTCTCCGCTCTTTTGCCATCCCACCTTTCCTCGCAACCATCAATATTTTATTTACACCTCCACATCACATTAAATACGCAACGCAAACGAAAAACAAAACAGAAAAAAAATTGACATTAATCCGAAGATCCTCACACGCATTACTCAGTCTATCAGGTGGAGAGACGAACGCAGATCAAGTGAGGATTAGGAAGTTTGCTCGGTAAATACTCACTTTCCTACAATTAAAAATATAGACACAAAAGCCATACGACTAACACAATAAATTAAATTATATACACAATATCACACATTAACATAAAATAAAAATAAATTATCAAAATAAAAAATACATAATAAAGATTTTGAAGAGCAACAACTAAAAATCCACAAAAATCTTGAAAGCTCAAAAATAAATTACAAACAAAAGAAAAAAAATAGAAGAAGAACCCTGTAGAAGGCAAATACTCGTTTATCAACATTGAACACGGTTCTATTACAAGAATCCACTGTATATAATTAAGATATCCACAACCAAAAAAAATTTACAAAGCTTTAAAGTAATTATGGAGTTCATTACTGAATATATATCTTGTGATAATTTTCAATATATATCACACCGTATCATATACTACCCCTACTATATCAACATATCATAATAAATTATAAAGAATGCTCAAAATAATTAAAAAATTAGAAAATTTCTAAAAAAGAAAAAAGAAAATTGCTCAACTTCAGCCATGATAGAATATGACCGGACTAATGTCCAGTTTTTTTTTTTTTAAAAAAAATCTTTGCGTTTTGAGCCGATTAAATATCCATACTTAAATAGATTTGAAATGTTTACATACTTCTCGCAATGCAGCCTCAGGCACATATTAATGATATAGGTAAAAATAATTATGAGTTCATTCTTACGAAAACTTCAAATCTCTAATTACAACTCTTCCTTTTCTTTTAATCTTATTGATAAACATACAACTCAAGACAACTAAACAATACGAAAACCCATATAGTGATGAATAAATAAAATCCAACACAGACCAAACTCCCGCCGTCAATTTAAAATTCGACAAATTTAAACAAGCTTAGTTTAAATTTATTTTTATATATATATAAAAGAAATGCTCAAAAATAATTAAAAAATTAGAAAATTTCTAAAAAAGAAAAAAGAAAATGCTCAAAGGAGAATATGCCAAGTCAGTTTTTTTTTTTAAAAAAAATTTTCGTTTGAGGATTATACATATATAGATTTGAAATGTTATATTTGCATCAGTAGCAAATTATAATTAGGTAAAATATATGAGTTTCTAAAAAATTAAATATCAATTAACACTTATCCTTTTACTTTTACTTTTGTAAAATAATAGTGATGAATAAATAAAAATTTAAAAATTCGAAAAATTTAAACAAGCTTAGTTTAAATTTATTTTTATTTAAAATACTTTCAATTATTTTCATTATCATTTAGTATAGAGTTATAAATAAAAGTATTTTTAAAACAAAGTACAATATACAATAAATAGAGCAATTCGCGCAACGTGCGGAGCTTCGCCAGGTTATATATAAAAGCTGAAACAAAGATAAAGTTCAATCAGTTCTCTCATTTCAACTTTTTTTTTTTAGGAATTTTTGAATTTTATTTTATTTTTTTGTAGTTTGATTGGATGTTGCATATATTTTTAAAGTTTAATAGCTATTGTGTAGATTATTATGAATTTTAAAATTTTCAATTATTTCTATGTTATTTAACTATTATTTTTAAAATAATTACATTTAGATAATTACAATTTTAATTTGTTTTTGGTTTAAATATATCTAGCTATGTATATATATATATCTATACTCTATTTATCAATCTTGCTAGGCTTCCACTACCTTAACCCGGGTGCCTTTCCTGAAAGTCTCACAATTTCACTCTCCATTATTTAAGCAACCAAAATCAAATCTCACTCCTTCTTCTTCCTCAATGCCTTCGGTGATCGAAACCCAAAAATTAAAAAAAAAAGCTTCTTCTCATTCCAAGGACACCTTTCCCATGTTGTCAAAAGTGCCATTGCTCACTGGTCGCAGCCCAGATTCGATGTTAGCTATAAGCCAAAACAAATATTGCTTAATGCTTCTAAAAGGCAATATAAATGGTGGGTTTGATTTTATTTTTGATTTTATATTTTGGGTAGGTTGAATATTCTGCTGGAGAGGAAGCAGGGTCGCTTGTGCCTGACGTAACACAGCGGGAGGCGTTTTCTTAGTCGTCTGTGATTTTTTCAGTGAGTTCTGTTAAATGAGTGTTTTTTTTTTGCCATTATTGTTGATGGGTATTTCTATTTTTCTTTTTATTTATAGTTGAATTAATGTTTGATAGATTATTGAATAATTTGTAATGGCTAAATATGTTCTTTTTTTCTGTATTTTTTTTTTTTTTTAGTGGGTGGATATTGATCAATATAACCTTCATTTAGAAAGTAGGAGGTAACGTTTCTTTTCATTAATATAGCAAGTAAGTTTTATTTTTCAAATAAATAATTATTTTCTTTCAATTTTTAATTTTTTCATAATTATGCACTAATGATATGCTAATTTATCCTTAAAAAAAATCTAACTAGGGGTGGAAAGCTCTATAGAATTAAAAAATGTATTAACTTTAAGCTCTCATAATTTGCATATTTCTTTACTTATTTCAATTATTTCTATTTAAAAATTATTAATTTATAAAATAAATTAATAGATATTATACATAATCAAATTTAATTTTTTGAATTGTTCTTATCTATATCACCTACAAATTTTAGAATCCTAACGATACAAATTTTTTACAATTTGATTGGATGCCTTATTTAAAAATTATTAAAATTAAAAAATTTTTGAATTCTTTTCTTATCTGTATCTAAACTGAGGCCTACTGAGCACATGTTTCCCTCCTCATTAATTAGTATCTTAAAATAAACTTTATTTCTCTCTCTTTTATATTTTATTTCTTGCCTTTGATCGAAGAAGGATGTATAAATTTATGACTTTTTGTGTGGGTTTGTCTTGTACGTTGGAGAGCTTTATTTGGAATTAAAGTCATCCTATTACATATTCACGTTAAGATTAAATAACAATTATTACATTATATTAATTATTAAAATTTTAATTAATTTATATTTAAATTGATATCCAAATGCATGTATTTTAATTGACTGATTTGTTATATATGTATCAAGTTTGTTCATTTACATTATCAGCTTAATAATAATCTGTGTATAACTATTACTTATTTATTTCAAAAATTTTATGCTATTATAAATAATGTTATAGTGCTTTTTATTATAAATTATTTTGATATTTATTATTACTTACTTATTTCGAGTACAGTTTTTATTTTTATTGTTCTTCCTAAACATTTGATAATTCATAATAATTTTTTAAAAATAATGATTATAATAATTATTCAAATAATATTCAAATACACGTGCTCGAAGTGCGGTCTGTCGACTACTTAAGAACTAAAATTAGGAATTTATTATCAATTTAGAGATGAAATTAGAAATGGATTTAGTAATGGAAATACATTCATAATACAATTTTTGTATCATTTATGAACGTATTTGGAAACAGATTTAAAGATGGATTAGAAAGAAATTGGAAAAAAAATTCGTTCCTAATTCCACAAAAACTAGGAACAGAATATTAAACTCATTAGAAACAGATTTGTCCTGTTTCTAAATTAGGAACGAATTCACATTTCTTTCTAAATTGTTTTAGAAACGCATCAAGTTGTCGCAGACATTTTCTATTGCGGATCTATTTCTAAATCGATTTAGCAACGGATTTAGCTCATTTAGAACGAAAAAATTCGATTCTATTTGCCATTTTTCTTGTACTATCATTTGATAATCTAAAATGTGCTTCCAAAGAAAAAGAAATAAAGATTTGAATTTTATGAATTTAATTATATGGAATTGAATTTAAATAAATTAAATCGTACTAAATAGATGAAATTTTCAAATGAATTCCAAAAAATTCAAATTATTCAAAATTTTACAATAAAACTGTCAATTTCTTCCTACTCTTCTTTTTTTTCCGGTCGAATATATAATTTAATTTTTTAACTTTTATAAGAAAAACCTTTTATCACGCTGAAATTCATTTTATAATAATCTCATACATTCTCACACAAACAATAATAATTATTAAGATATTTAGTTTTTATCTGCAAAATATTGATTTGATACGCGGTTAATATAATTTTTGAAACAATAATTTTCACATTTTTTATTATCAATCTAATTTTATAAGTTAATGTACTTGATATCTCAAATTAAACTGTTTAATATGTATAATTTTATAATTTAAACGTGTTCAATGAGCCAAAGAAAAAATTGTGCCACAAGATTTTTCATGAAAAGTATATTGATAAATTTATGAATTGATCCACTTTCTTCTTTGCACATATGATATTATGGTTTCTATCACAACTCCTTCCCATAGATCGAATCGACACTAAGACTTTGGTAAGTTTAAGGTTACCAAAGCTTGTAGTAAGCATGACTTGCTACAAGCAATATATCTCATTTAGAATAACAACTAGGTCTCAGATTAAATTTCAAAATTTAATTAATATTACAATATCTAAACTTCAAGCATGTTATCCAAATAATATGTGTGTATAAGGCCTCAACCCATGTCCCAATATTCTATAATAATTCTCATAAGTTTGTTAACATATCTTGTAAAATAATAATTAGGTTCTATCGTCATTTTACAATAACATGTGGGGAGGAGGCTCAACCATCCTCAGTATTTTATAATCATGATTTATTTTAAGTCATTTACCAATGATTTATAATAATTATGCGCAAAACGGTACATCACAAGAAATCGAAGCCTTAGCAAAAGAAGAAATACACTAAACTTCTCATCGACTACCTCATCCTAAACTAGAAAAATAAGAGACAGAGATGAACATCAAACTCAATAAATGGTTCTAGACAATACATACTTGATATCACACGAATCCCATAATATATTGCTGACACAAATGTTGACCACAAGTATTTACAAGTAGGGCATTTAAGACCCACGACGCACAAGCGATCCATATACAAATCGCTTGGTTTTACATGTTCAACATATAGACTACTGTGAACCCCTTCCCCAAATGTCATAAGCATGTGATGCATATGATGAATGAGAAGAAATACACGTGATGTGTGTGAGTCGCCACCAGAAATAACGTGATGTGGTTGTGAGTTCGCCACCTTGTTTAATTATTTTAGGTAAAACTAGGAACAAAACCTAAGTGACTCCATTTTTAATTAACCTAGTTACTAGATTAATTCCATGAATTAAGGCACAATCTACGAACGCCGAGATGGATCCCGAGACTGATGGTCATGCTTGATGAACTAGAACCGATGAAATGAATGCTTTTGCTAAGGTGAATGATGGATTAATGAAATGTTTGAGTGATTCGACTTTGCCCGCTCGGGGTTAAATCCGCGAACGGTGGCCTACGTCTTCCGTTTGAATGGAAGATCAAGTCAACGGTAGTTCGATAGGCCTTCTTTGAAAGGGCTTTGAAGGGGTATTGCTTAATGCATGAGTGTGTATGCCTTAATGCGGGTATGCTTAATGCATGAGTGTGTATATGCTTTATGCATTTTGTTTAGGCATTTTGCCAAAAATTGATTGATTTGATTTAGGCATTTGTTGCTAAAAAAAATGTCGATTTAAGGCTTTTAGCCGAAAAGATTGACTTAGGCAATTTATTGCCAAAAATATTGATTGGGCGATTGTCGCCAAAATGATTAATTTTAAGGCTTTTAGCCAAAGATTGATTAATTCAAGGCATTTTTGCCAAAGATTTTGATTAAGCGATTTGTCGCTAAAAATGGTTAATCTCCGATTTTACGGCTTTGAGCCGAAAATGGTTGATTTTAAAGGCATTTTGCCAAAAATGTCGATTTTAAGCGATTTGTCGCTAAAATAATTGATTTTAGGCTTTTGGCCGAAAATTGGTTCATTTTAAGGCATTTTGCCAAAAATGTCGATTTTATGGCTTTGAGCCAAAAATGTGTTGTTTTAGGCAATTAGTTTGCCAAAATGTGCGATTTAGGCTTTTGTCGCCAAAATGGTCGATTTTGAGGCCTTTGGCCAAAATGGTTCAATTCTACGACTTTTAGTCGAAAAAAGATTGATTTTAAGGAATTTGTTTGTTGAGAAAAATGATTTAGATCGTAGGCAATTAGTTGCCGAAATTAATTGATTAAACATAGGCAATTTGTTGCCAAAAAATGTGATTGAACTAGGCCGTTAGCCACAATTATCGATTAATCGGACCTTTAGGCGAAGTGTTCGAAATAAAGGCGATTACACCGTAGTTATTGGTTAACTAGGCATTTTAGCCAATATTGTCGGATTTAAGCTTTATATTGTCGGATTTAAGCTTAACTGCCACGATTATTAATTAATCGGGCGTTAAGCTTAATCAAATTAATTAAGGCAGTTTATTTACCAAAAATAATGATGACGTGGATGCATTTATGCAATTGTAGAATTATTAAGAGTAGGAGAGAAATATGCATGAAATGCAGTGCTGAAATTAAATAGGCAGAGTTTCGTTTACATACCTGATTTAATCGGCGACCGCTTCTTAATTCCAGATTAAGCTCCTCGCTTGGGAAATATTAATCAATTTTAATTTATTTAATTTTAGTGGCCAAATATCACAACAATAATGTAATAAAAATTAAAATGCAAAAAGCGGTAAAGAAAAACGCAAGGAGCGTGGGAGGGAGAAAGATCGTCCGTCAACAATTCGTCCGTCAACACAGACAGGGGTGCCAAAATTGGACTTATAGGCCATTTTCGGGTCCAGGGCGGCAGGTGCCGCCTGGCTCGGCGGTAGCTGCCGCCTGGGAGGGCGGCAGGTGCCGCCTAGTCGGTGGGGGGGCAGGTGCCGCCCATGCTGGGCGGTAGGGGCCGCCCAGTCGGTGGGGCGGCAGGTGCCGCCCAGGCGGTGGGGCGACAGGTGCCGCCCATGCTAGGCGGTAGGAGCCGCCGTGTCCGGCGGCCGGCGCCGCCGTAGCTGGTGGTGGCCACCATGTCTCGCTCCGAGAGCTTTTTTGGGAGTTTCCGACCTCCAAATTGACATATTTTAGTACCATATTGACATATTTTCGGTGAACTTTCAAAATGGCCTTTGGTCCGGCCGGACTGTTTGCAAGGTCAAAATTTGAGTATTCACAACTACTTGAAGTCCTTGATGCATAGACTCATCATAATCACATGTTTAGTATATAATATAGTTAGCTAACCTGATGTAATGACTTTCCACCTCAACCACCAGCGGTTCTACTTCATTTAAATTCCATCCAAGCATCCACAAACAATATCAAGTATAGATGTAGAACTTAACTAATATCACAAACTATATGCAAATGTTGGCAAAGTATAATATTTATCTTTTACTTAACATATCATTTTATGTCAACATGCTTTCTCAATTCATGCATTGTCCAAGAGATACTCATTGGAAGGTTTTTAAATAGTTATTTTGATAT